TTATAACTTGATAAACTTCTAATACAATTCAATCAAGATATGATTTTCACTAAGGAAATTGCCAATTACAAATTTAGAAATTGACAATTAATAATTTGGACATAACACTTTCTTTTCTTTACGTTCCATATTTCTTTCTTCTCTCACTTTCTTCATTTTCTAACACAACCACCCATGCTCTTTACTCTACTTCCCCACACAACCAAGACTTCTCCCTTCTTCTTCTCTATTTTTTATTTGTTGCAATAGGTGTTACAAAGAAGAACATGGCAAAAGATGAGAACTTGAAGTTCGATAATTCCACATTGCAAAATATAGATTCCCAAGTACGTAGTTCTTTGTTTGAAGCCTCAACTGAGGAGGATTTTACCAGAAGCTGGACAATCAACAATTCTTAGGCTCCTGGACTAGGTTTGAAAAGGGTAGGTTTAGTTGGGCTTGGATCGAAAACTAACCCAAAGACCTCTTATCGTAATCTTGGTGAAATAGTCGCAGCAGCAGCTAAGTTTTCTTTGGAAAGTAATATTGACATCATACTTGCTTCTCCCGAGGAGCTCTCTGCTGAAGCAAAGCTACGCACGCTTACAAATTTTACCCAATTTCTCAACTTGTAAGAAAAATCAAGAAAGTAAAGGAGAAATGGCCCTTGTTTCCTCTTTGCACCTTCATTCCTTTCTTCATCACCCTCTTACTCTTGTCTACACCCAAGTCAACCCCTTCTTTTACTCTTTTGCATTTGAATGGAATGCATCACCTTTTCATATTTTTTTTTATTTCTACCCATATTTCACTCTCAAAACTTTGCTTTGTTTTTTTAAAGTGAAACTACGAGGTTCAACCCAAATTACACCTAGAGGGGTTGGGGGTGAATAGATGTTTATGCAGAATCTAAACTTAATAATTAATCAACAACAAGTCACTATTAATTATCTCTAGATGGTTAATCAATCAGTCCAATTATCCTAAGTTGAATTGTTGGAGTTATATGGAAAACAATAAATAACAAGTAGATTGATCACGGAGAAACCTCAACTGGGTAAAAACTCTGGACACTTTGCCAGTCATAAATCCACTAAAAACAAATTTTGAACTTACAGTTCGCCAAACATGACTACCACTAGTACTTTTTAACCTCTTGACTGCAATTCTCATAACTCTCCTGGATTGTATACTGCTGTACCAACTCCCAACTTTATAAATTTGTCTATCTCCTGTGGATCAAATAAGAACTCCGCATTCTCCAACAAATGGAACTCTAGTCACCTTCCCTTGATCTTCGGCACTCTGACAGATGTGCAGGAAGTAGCAATTTGGTATTTGGATTATAACTTTGATATTTTCATCGCCAAGAACAAATCATAGCATGAAGGTTGAAAGATTATTTGATGAAGAGCATATGTAGAGTATGTGTATTNAATTTGGTATTTGGATTAAGTGAGTTTGATGTTTTTCACCGCTAAGAACAAAACAAATAACGAAGGTTGAAAGCTTATTTGATGAAGAGGATATGAAGAGTATGTGTTTTCTCAATGTTCAACCTTTAAAAATTGTTCAGAGGCGTGTTGGTATTTATACTGTAGGTTAAGGAATGAATGGACCGGATAAAAGCCTTAAAAATGCGAATTAAAATTCTCTGGATAACTCTGTTTGTCGAGTGAAAGTTGGGTGACAAGCGAGCGACGGTGTGTTGCTCGAGCGAAATCCTGGTGACAGGCTAGCGACAATGTTTCTGTTTCTGCCGCTCGAGCCAAGTCATAGCGATAGTCTAACGAAATTGTGGTGTCGTTTTTACTTATTTTCAGATCTCGAACTCTAGACCTAATAGAACTCAATTTATAACAATTACAACTTACTCCTTGACTTATACAACACAATAAATCTAGTCCATTTTGTTCACAGACTTGCCAATTACATCAAAAACCTAACAGAAGGCCTCGTGAAAAGTAGTTGGGTTTTCACATTTTTTACTGCAAGAACAACCTACCAAGATAATTCTCCAATTACAATTAAAAAATGCTTCATAGAATTACTCCCTTTTGTTTCTTGAATGCTGATAGTGTGTGCATTGGAAAAGAATTTGGAATGAAAAGGAGAGAGCTAAGGACCAACAAATTTTTTGATGAGTGTGGGTACACTCATATTGGAAAATACATGGATTGTAATGTCAACTGATGAAAATATTTCGTTAAAATTTGTTCGGCTTTAAGTTAAATCGGAGCCATTAATGGAAGCTTTTGTGAGTGCGAGGAGTCATTAGAAGCCTTTTGTTTTTTTTAAATATGTAGCTTATGGAGTGGAGAGAATCTTCTATGAGTGTTAGGAGTCATTGCAGTGCTCTTCTTTAATATGGCACATGCAACACAACAGTTCAGTAATTGTATAAAAGAGTCATGTCATGCATTATATCATTGTCATACCGTTGTATTTGTGTTTTATTGTCTATAATATGTCGTAAGATAATGGAATAATCAGTATGGTGAATACCATAAATGCTTTCAACTAACATCAATTTGGGTTGATTATTTTGTTTGAACTGAATGATACTATTTACTTCAAGTAAAAATATATATCAAAGTGAAGAAGATAGTGCTGAAATCGTGATTGATATTGATTGATCTGATTGTATATATAATACATCATATTGCCAAAAGAATAATCTAGAAATTATACCTATTAGGTAGCTCCTTAAATTATGGATCATGTAGGAATCTTTTATAACTGATTTGTGGTCCAGGGACAGCAAGGAAGAATGGCTAGTATAGCAAGAAAGAGACAGTTTAGTCATTAATGATATGTATAAAGATAAGGCTGATGTAGAGATAGCTCCATGGTGAATAGAGCTAGCACCACTAGCTCCATGGTGAATGGAGCTAGCCACCAACTCCTCCCTGGATGGAGCTAGCAACACTAGCTCCATGGTGAATGAAGCTAGCCATTATTCTTAACACCTTCCTTCAAGCTGGACAGCAAGGAAGTGACTTCAAGCTTGTCTTTCAAAAAGAGAAACCTTGAATGATTCAATCCTTTGGTCAGCAAATCAGCAATCTGATCTGAGATAGGTATGTATTTCACTTCAAGTTTTCTTGCCAGCTTCTTATCTCTGATGAAGTAGATGTCTAACTCTATATGTTTTGTCCTTGTGTGATATACTGGATTTGCAGTAAGTGCTCCTGCACTCATGTTATCACACCACAGAGTTAGAATTCCAACTAGATACAGCCCAAGTTCTTGAAATAGCGATTGAATCCATGCAACTTCTGNNNAGCGATTGAATCCATGCAACTTCTGAAGCAGTGGAGGCAAGGGCTCTATACTCAGATTCTGTGCTAGAACGAGCTACTACGTGCTGCTTTTTAGAGGACCAGGATATCATATTATCACCCAAATAGATACAGTAGCCTGTTGTTGACCTTCGATCATCTGGACAAGAAGCCCAGTCAGCATCTGAGTATCCAATTAAGTTCAATCTATCACTCATCTGGATCCATAAGCCATGTTTTATATTGCTTTTGAGGTATCTCAGAACTCTCTTCAAAGCTTGCCAATGAATCGAAATTGGAATTTGCAGAAATTGGCTTAACTTGTTGACTGTGAAGGTAATGTCTAGTCTTGTATGTGAGAGGTATTGTAGGGCCCCAACTGCACTTCTGTAAATTGAAGGTTCAGTTAACACTTCACCATCAGTCTTGAAGATAGTTTTGCCAGTAGGAATTGGTGTAGGACACGTTTTTAAATTCTCCATCTCAAACATTTTTAGTAAGTGAGTAATGTATCTTGATTAGGTGAGGTGAATACCAGAGTTGTGCCATACAACTTCAATCCCAAGAAAGTGATGCAACCTTCCCATATCCTTCAGAGTAAATTTCTTGTTAAGTGAACTTATAAAACCTTGCACTAGATCTTTGTCATTGCCTGTTATGACTTTGTCATCGACGTAGATGAGGGCAAATATTACCCGCCTTTCTATTTTGAAGTAGAACAAGGAAGTATCAGCTGTCGATTGTTTGAATTTCCAACTCAATAATGTGGCCTTTAGTTTATCATACTAGGCTCTGGGACCCTATTTCAATCCATAGAGAGTTTTCTCAAGTTTGCAAATATGATTT